AGGTTTTCTCTGCCCTTGCCCCAACCTCTGTGATCCATGTCAGCGGCCAGAGAATGGAAGTTTGAGGGGTCTAGAAATGGTCAAGAGAGAACCAAGTTATTTTTTTTTTATCCCTTTTTTTACAAAGATTTACATTCCCTGTATCTTTCTTACATCTTTATAATTGCTGGTTACTTGTCTAAATAACAGATTGTAAGCTCTTCAGATTGTAAACTCTCACAGGCAGGGCCCTCCTAACCATTTTGTCTTGACTTGTATTGTAAGTGAAATGCCCTCCTTATATTGTAAAGCACTGCACAAACTGTTGGCGTTATCTAAACCCTGAATAATAATAATAATAACAACAGACAATAATGTATCGGCCCAAATATTGAGCTGATATTTCTAGGAGTTGGGTGGACCTGCTGTTAATGACCTGTTCATGGGTTTGTATTCACCATACCTTATACCCTCTGTGTTTTTGTAACCAGTTTGGTATGCTCAATTATGTATTTTTAATGTTTACACATTGTTTAATATTCCAAAATGTAAATAAATAAAGTATGTTTAAAAAAATGTTATCAAGTCATTGTCAATAACCATACAATTTTTGTATAATCAATTTTAGACTTGACAAACGTATGTAATAGGAGGACCTGCCCAATCCATCCAATCAATCTGCATCCAACCAAGCAGGTCCTTGCACTACATCCTTATTGGTAGATCTAAAGGAGAATGTACAATCAGACTGTAATGTGTGCAGTGAGTTTTACACAGGATCTTCACATTGTCATTTGAAAGAGAAGAAAAGCAGGTAGGGTGTGTTGAAGCCTGTAATTCTAGCCCAGTGTAAATACTTTCTATATATTATTAGTATTTTTAGTCCTTCATTGAACATTTTTATATTTAGTTTTTTTGGTTTCTAGAGTTAAAGTGGACGTTACATATGGGGAGGTTTATCAGTGATTTGTAAACTTTGCCCCAATATTTACATCACATTTTTTGGGTAGGCTCTGGAGTGCAGTGGAAGGCAAGAACAAACACCAGAGGGTTCTGTTTACCCAGAGAACCTGTTACTTTACCATAAATATGCAAAACACAGATTCTCTTTAAAACACAATATCAAATATAATTCAAGAGTGTTCAAATCTGGACCAGTCCTTCTACAAAGGCCATTAAAGGAGAATTATGAGGTGAGTGAAAAACACTCATCATAATTCAAGCCGACCTGTGACACTGAAGCTGTCACACGTCGGCTCTATTGATTGGGAAGTCAACAAACACATACCACCAATCGCTGACTTCCCGATCTTCTCCCTGCAGAGAGCGGTGACTGTCAGCCATCGCTCCCCACAGGGATTACCCCCCTCCCCTTTCCATTTCAGTCTACTGACTGGAGGAAGGGACAGGGGAGGGGGTGGGCACAGCTGGCTCTGCTTCTAGATAGATAGAGCCCACTGTCAATCAGCCAGCAGGGTGGATCTTGACAGTATTGTCGGGATTTGTGCAAGCTGCAGCGTGGCTCTGAGCTCTCAGCATATAGCAAGCAATAGCCTGCCATATGCTGAGTTTTGGGTTACCGGAGGACTTAGTATATGTCCTCCTGTGACGCTAAAGAGAACTATGGGCAAAGAAGGTTGCGCCTATAGTTCTCTTTTAATCATTTTATCATAATATAAAATATTGTTATGGTTATTATTATTATTACTACTTTTATCCCCATTACTGATGCCTAACAGTGTACTGACTATGCTGACTGCTCTCCTCCTGCCTGTCCTTGATACATACTTCATGTTATGATCAATTACTCATATTGTCACAGTTGGCACTGCCAGACACTACAGAGAGCGTTACACAGGGGCCCCAAAGTTTTGCTATGGAGCCCCATGATTTGTAGTTACGCCCCAGAATGGAAGCTAAGCTAAAATAAATCAGATTTTTTTTCTAATTTGCCCTTTAGGTAGGGACAATGCAGCAAAAAATTGAAAATTAAAGTTGAACTTCAGGCAAACAGCTAAATACACAGACATAATACACATATAGGAGTTGTTTTACCTGCCAAAGATTTACACAGCTCTGCCTCACAACAGGGAAGATACCTGAACTTTTCCAGCTGCAGTTTTAGCTTAACTTACTGTTTTCTGCTCTACCTCACATCATGTTACTGGACAGTGAAATGAGAAGTAGCACAGTAATAATTAAATCTCTGTCACTCTGCACTCTTCCCCTATCAGAATGTTCCCTGCACTACAGCACACTTATTAGGCTTATTAGACTCCTTGTGCTGCTGCTTCCTCCCCTTATCCGTCCCCCTCTCTGGGTTCTGCCATACAGGCACTGCAAGAGGCTGATACCAAATTAATTCAGGTACTCGCACTGCTTGCATTTAAAAAAATAAATTTCATTATGTATAATTGATTACAGAGCAGCACTAATGTGCACCTTTTATATTTGCCTCAGATTTAACCCTTTTGCTGCCAAGGCCTGGTTACAATGAGTAAATAGATACCCAACATTCCCAGGTTAAAAATTGTGTACGTCCGTGAAACGATAACAAAATTCAGTACACCAAAAAGTCCATAGATGACACTTTGGGGGCATGGCCAGCTACTGAACAAAATGGCCACTTTCTAGGGAAGCTCCATTTTAGGCTTAAAAATCAACGATATAATAGCGATGACGAGCTGACCCTACTGCCTACTTTTCAGGAGATACACCTGGCTACTCGACCTGATGCCAAAGAGAGGAAAAGATCGCAGGCAGCCATATAAACTCACAGACTTTTTTCTAGCCATGCCTGCAGGTGAGTCCCAAGATGGCGACGACCTTAGACATGACCTCTTCCAGAGATTGCTCCACTACAGGTGTCGGCACACAGAGTGCTCACGTACACCCATCAGATGCGATAGTGCAGGCGGATCCCGGTGAATCTTCTCCACCGGACTCACCGACCACTCAAAGCAACAATCCAGGGGGAGGCGGATAAGGGCCCAGGCTAGAAGGCCTCAAATCCTCTGCCTCATGAGCCTTTGAACAGTGACACCAAAGCATCTGTTTTGCAACCTGTCTCTGTCTTGGACATAAAAGACATGCTGATTACACTTAGACAATTTATTCAACAGTATATGACTTCCATGATTTCTAAGATAACAACCTCGCTCCCTTCCAGCCACGGTACCATAGTATCTGACTGCAGATCATTCCTCCTCATACCAGCCACTTTAACATAGTATCTGACTGCAGATAATTCCTTCTCATCCCAGCCATGATACAATGTTATCTGACTGGAGAGCATTTCTCCTTATCCCAGCCGTGGTACCATGTTATTTGACTGCAGATCATTCCTCCTCATCTCAGCCATGGTACCACCATTATATCTGACTGCAGATCATTCCTCCTTATCGCAGCCATGATAATATGTTATCTGACTGCAGAGCATTCCTCCTTATCACATCTATGGCACCATGTTATTTGACTGCAGAGATTTGTAGTCCTCTATAGCTGACAGTGTTATTCAGCATTGCTGTGTAATATATCGCTGGTATTTGTAGTCCTCTGTATCTGGTGGTATTATTTAGCATTGCTGTATAAAGTATTACTGGGAATTGTAGTCTCTCTATAGCATGGAGTCAGCGGCAGAGCTGCCTGGTTAGGAAACTATCTTCATGGAGTTTGCATGTTCTCCCTGTGCTTGCGTGGGTTTCCTCCCACACTCCAAAGACATGCTGGTAGGTTAATTGGCCCTGTGTGCATGTGAGATAGAGACCTTAGATCAGGGGTGTCAAACTAAATTTATTGAGGGCTGCATCAACATTATGGTTGCCCTCAAAGGGTCTGTAAGACTATATAAATGTATCTAATCTTTATCATAATTGCCTCTGCATTCGATTATCACTGGTTTTAAAGAAACAAAAACAAAGAGCGCCTCCATCGCGTAAAAACGTTTTAATGAGACAGATTTAAACAGATAAAAACATACTCACAAAAGTGGAATTTTTACAGGCATGAATAGGTAAAATCGTGAAAAGCTTAGCCCACCGGCTACTCTTCATCCCTGAGGAAGCTCGCTGGAGGCGCTCTTTGTTTTTGTTTCTTCCAGAGTTGAGGCTTTCCCAAAGCCTGTCTGAGAGCCTGCCCCATCTGCGGTTCACTTTGAGACCATTTCAGATATTCTCCGTGTTTGGATACAAGCCGCTGGCGCTTTGTTATATACTATCACTGGTTTTAGTAATAACTTAATACCTAGATCTGAAAGTAGAAGTCTAGGAAATGGCCTGGTGGGCCGGATTCGGCCCCTGGGCCTTGAGATTGACACATGTGCCTTGAATTGTAAGCTCCTTGAGGACAGGGACTGATGTGAATGAGCAACTATGTAAAGTGCTGTGTACATTTATTTCTTACTAAATAAATAGCTAACAATCCCATCATCCCACTGGGTCTCATGCCTGTGGCTGTCAGAGTCTTGCAGTGGGACTTGTAGTTCTACAACAGCTGTAATGTCAAGGTTGCCTACCACTGGAGTAGGGCTTGGGACCCAACAAGATAGTATAATCATACAGGGTATAGTGAGAAAGGAGTAAAGGAATCAAAAGAAGGCTTTCCAGCCAAATCTTTTTATTTTTGGGATATGTGTGAGAATGAGGCATGTGAATACATTCTGTTCTCAGTAAAGCCTTGTATTCACATGCCAGAATGTATTCACATGCCTCATTCTTACACATATCCCAAAAATAAAAATATTATCCTGCCCCTGCTTTTAGAAGGATGTCTTCTGTCTGGAAGGATATATTTGTAAACATCAAACAAAAAAGGTTATAATGCTTTAATAATACTGTAAATACTAAGTGCTTCTACATTTGAAAAAAGTTGTTGAAGGATATTGTTTATAAGTAATTTTGTCGTACAGAATTGTACAATTAAATAGTAATATTATAGGATCTTGATTGTGCTACCAATAAAACTAACATAAAAAGTTAATTTGTTCATTCATATTTGTCTTACTTTTGTTTCATTCTAAGGCCTCAATGTTTGCGCGCTAGAAGACAGAAAACATTTTTACAATCAAAGACCTCTTCTGTAATCTGAAAGTCGGTACACTTTGTAAACTCCTCAATCTCACATCCGCTCTCAGTCACTGCCTCTCGCACAATATTCTCATCTAGGGACAGAAGTTTAAACTTTGCCTCGCCGACCAAGTAGTATGAGGCCCCCAAGTAATCTACGATAACTAGATAACCCCCGGATCTGATCAGGGATACAGTATTCTTTAGGGCGTTCTTAAAATCTTCAGCATTATTGCAAACACAGATGAGACACCCGGCAACAATCACACAGTCCGCCAGGGGAAGGGAATTTGGCTGCAGCGGGTTGGCTTTGGTGACATCACACTTCATGAGTGAGACTTTTCTCCTGATCTTCTCTGCCTTCTCCTCCTCAGTGGACCTAGAATTGGGAATATTAGAATCACTTCGGATATCATAATAATGTAACACATTAAGAGCTTTTTTAGCCAATATGGATTATTGGTGTAACACTATAGGATTCATATTCCCTGTGCTCTATACTGTAATTTGGTTGTAGCTAGGGATGTGATTGATTATGACATTTTTAGCAGTAGGCTGAACTCCATGTATACAGCTCAAATACATATATTGGAGCCATTTTACTAGCGTAACACCCTGTTAAGCAGGATTCTTATTTAAATGTAGTTGTCAGATTGTATCCAGTCTGATACTGATGCTCATTTGGTTTCCCCTAAGCAATCTGTTATTGTTTGCGTCTGCCTGCTGCTGGGTGTATCCTTACCACAGAGCAGCCAATAACAGAGTGTTATGAATATCTATGTCTCTCTGGCCTATTAATAGGAGGTTCATGGCCAGTGGTGCATGCTGGGAGAGGACATAAATATTCAGGTTGGACCATGTGAGATTAGCTTTCTCCCCTGGGCCCTGCCTGAGGGGAGGCTGCTACCGACTTTCCAATCTGGCTATGCCTGAAGCCTAACAGGCCAAGCCCGGTGCTCACACTGAGGCATGAGTTGGTTGTAGCTAGGGATGTGATTGATTATGCCATCATTAGCAGTAGGCTGAACTTCAAGTATACAGCTAAATATACAGCTAAAATAAATATATTGGAGCTAATTTCCCAGCTAGAGGATTCATTTCTGTCCATCCGATCTTGAGATTTACACAGGCCTGCAGGACTGTACACCCAGTTGGATGTCCTGACGTTTCTCTACTGCAGTAGTTATAAAGTCAATATCTAAAGTATATCAAGTATATATCAAGTATATTTAAAGTCAACATTTTTATGTTAGATTTGAATAGAGGATTAGAACACCTGTCAGGTTTTATTGCCATCTATGTTCCAGTCAGGGAATTTCACACTCTCCGTTGGTCCTGTTAACTAATGTCACTGGGAGTGAAATTGAATGAAAATCCCCAAATTTGAGTTGCCACCAGAACAGAAATAGAGGTGATTTTGCCATGGAGACAATGGTTCCAATGACAAGGTCTACCAGGGAGAATCCCTCAGTGGAGAGATTTCCTCTGACTTCATATTGTGGCTAGGGAACAAAAAGTGAAGGCAAACCCAGAATTGCTGTTTTCCACCATTACCTTTCCTTTATACTGGCCTTTTAGAATAGCAAACAAGAAAATTAAAAGATAAGATGAAGGTTTTAGGGCAGAATAAAACTTTTGTAGTTAAATAGTATATTTTCATAGATATCTGTACATCAGACAAAAAGAGGAAAAAGGGGACAACTGAAGAGGAAAGAGGCACAGAGGGATGTGGTTCCTTAGAGGAAATATGGGACAGTTCTCAGGTATGCAACCTGGCCAGTCATGCTCTGTTTGAGAAAAAGGATGGAAGGTGTTAAACCACATGCTCCATTTCTGACCTTAAGCTGAGTTGTACAATGAACCCTGGCAGGTCCTGGGGCCACAAGGATAGTTCAGATGTGTCACAGTCCATTGGAAACCACTACATATCTATACTGTAGCTAGTTTTAGCTCTTGCCAGGATCAGCTTATGTTGCCAAGGTTAAATAACTTTGTTATTATGGCAGTAAAAGCCTGTTTATGGGTATGATCAACATTCTTCACCAATACTTGTGTGGTAACAAATGTACCCATGTAACCCAGCTGCTACAAATGTTACCAATGGGGGAGTCTCATCCATGTGAATATATGGCAGGTGTCCTCACTATAAACATGTAAACATCTAAAATGGGAAAATATGTGACTATGGTACCACAAATGAGTTGCTCCCAGACAATTTGCTGAAAAATATTATTGAAAAATTCACATATAACAAAATATGTAAAAAAAGCAAAACATAAAAAGTAAATCTTACCTCACCCCAAACAAGTGAAAATCAGGACAATGTTGTTCATATACCCCTAAAGACCACTACCTCACCTGCTAAAGTATGTGGTCATTATTTGATAACATTGTATGTAATTTATCAGATGAGGTGACAAAATGTATGTAGGCAAGACAGAGAGGGAGCTGTAGGTCAGGAAAACACTTGATAGACAATGTAGGGAGAAGTGATAAAAGCCCCTTTGGGGAACATTTTAAAGTCTTTTAATAATATGAATTTAGCAAAGTGGCAAGAGCGAGAAACTCTTTTGGGGTGCCATACTCCTGTGGTCCCATCCGTATCCATATTACTTTTTGTATTTGTATAAAAGGAAGTGTTGGGAAACTAGATTTGTATGCACTGTTAAAATTAAATCCCACTCTACTCCATCTATAATATTTAATGCTATTCAAAGGCTAGATATGAAAATAATAAATACAGTGTACTTTAATAGATGTATAGTACATACCTGTGGTTTTCAATGTCACAGACATACTTCAGAACCGGGGACCAATCAAAGGCCTCCCTATCACATTTTAGCCATTTCTCTATTTCCTGCAGGTTTCCTTGTACATAATCTGTGAGGTAAATCTGCTTGAAGTTTTCACAGGCAGAAATAATATGATATATGCAGGGACCAGCACCAATCTCTATAAGACTATTGCCTTCCACACGACCTAATACAAAAAAAAATCAAATATGATAAGACTTTTAAAAAGCATATAAACACCAACACGTCTCACTTTTAGATTTACTTGGAGTAGAGTACTGAAATTGTGCTGACATAGCTTAGTGAATAAAGAAAACCTGTATTTCTTTCAATTATCCAATCATGCAAAAAAAAAAAAGAGTGATTTTCTTAAAAACAATTCCCTTGCATGTGATTGGGTATTGGTTATTCAAAGTGAACATGCCTCACCTTAATTACTAAAAGTGAACATTCTCTAATCTTTTCATAAATGATCCCCATGGGTCATCTGTAAGATCAGACCCTGGCACAGAGTAGTAGTTTAATCCTTTTATAAGGTAAGAAAAAGTTAAATCAATAAACTGGACATTTTGAATTGAAATTATGCACTAAAAAGGAACTCCATGAATTGTCAAAATTCTGCTTGTCTTGGTCTAGAGGCTAAAATAAAGAAGATATACTGGATTGGTCTGCTAAGCTTCTCCTCCCCCAGGCTCCAGCAGTTTAAGGACCTTTGATGTCATCATGTCTAATGCAAGTGCATTACACGTGAGGATGCCAACGACGTACCACAGCCGGAGTGGAGGGGGAGAGAAGTGAGTCCTGCCACAGGACCGAGGATCAGGGGAGTTTATCTTCTGTATTCCGACCCATAGAGAAAAATTAGCAGTCAACCCTTGTAGTCTGGTAGTAGCCCCACTGCAAGAATTAGATTTTGCAATTCCTTTATTTTCCACCCAAACACGAAGAGACCTCGGGGAACTACACTTGCATCAACAAGATTACGTACCTGATGAAAATATGTTTTTTAGAAATGTGAGCATGAAAATTGACTCTTTATCGGTTTCAGGATCTACTCTGTAGAACATATCAAGGTATTTTCTTCCGTCAAAATCTTTGTCATATACATGAACTTCTGATGCTGACAAAACTTCCATGTTGTACATCAAACACCTGTATGTAAAAAAGTGAGAATGAGTCAAAATGTACAGTCGATGGTACCCCATGATTGTTGTTTGTAAGTCAGTTTTTGTTAAGCAATACCTTCCAGCGCCAAGAAATAGGCACTAGAAGTGTTGAGCTTGGGGGTATCAATGCCTCAAAAAGTTTTTTTTAAAGTTCCCTGCTCGCCCAGATGCTTAATCTTCAAGTTGAAATTCAGGGCGATATAGAAACACAATTTATTGCAGTTAAGTTTGCATTATATATGATAAAATGTATTTTAAAATGCAACCACTCTATTGATATCAGCCTCTTGTGATCCTATGTACAGTAGAATACAAACTGGAAGATGGAAGGTGAATACTCTGTGTCAATCAGGCCAAGTGTCTACACAAGGTATGGCAAGGAGCATGATGACAAGGGGAAAGTAGGCAGTGACCTGATGAGATTCATGCTGCTCCTTTACTGCCAATGACAGGTGGGGTGAAGAGGTGACCGAGCTCTATTGACTAAGTTCAGTAGAGAAAATTCAAGACAGGGAACTGGATGGTGTAAATCGTAGCACTGGCATACCAAAATGACAAACAGCGGTGTAGCTGTTTGTCTGCAGTTCAGCTTCACCCTAACCCTTATGCAAATTGTAACATTTAAGCCTAGCCTGAACTCTAACACGAGCCCATACTTTTTGGAGAAACCATCCAGAGTGTTCTTTTCTGTTCTTTTCGATTCTAGGATCTGCTGTAAAAGATTTATTGTAAAAGTTCAGCGAATTGAAGTTACTCTACTAGGGGGTCTGTACCACTTTGGGTGGCATTCCACATCACCCTGACAGGAGTAGTAAATTAGTAAACTAAATGTGAGATTGTAGTCCATCATGAGAATGATCTTGTAGTGGTGACTATTTACAAAACACACAGGGACAATGGGGAACAAAAGTAGCCACCCTCCAGAAGGAAGGACAGTGTCAGCACCAATTCAGAGATGATTTGGGGATCTACAGCCGAGTGATACACAAATAATTTACATTTTTGTTAATAGGGTACTGGAATGCATTTTTAAGATTCAACTCCTGAGTTTAGTGTCACTTTAAAGTGGAAAGGTTTTCAAGCTAATTTAATTGCTGATTACATCTCTTACAATGGATGCTGCTCTTTGATGGATAAACATTTTAGTTTCCTGCAGAATTAGGGGTCCCATGATCTCTGGCACTGATATCCTGATCTAGCGCTTGTTCACATCATGTCCAGACCAGATCTGGATGTCTTTCTGCAAACAGTGCGGTGCGTTCTTAATGCGTTTTTGATGTGATCTGGTGGGTGTTTTTGCCTGAACGGGTTTTCAGGTGCATTCCAGTGCATTTGCATACATTTTGGTGCATTCCAGACCATAAAAAACAGCGGATGCAGTATTTTCTTTTCCCTGCACCAGACACCACTGGTGTGAACAAAGCCCAGAAATACCAGAGGAATGCATATCCCAATGCATGTATGCATTGTAAGCACGGACAAAAAACGCTCTGGTCTGGATCTGATCCTGACATGGTGTGAACAAGCCCTCAGCATGGCTCCTTTCCCTTGCAGGGTCCTATGGAGCAGCACATGTGTGTGCTAGTAAGCTGTGTGTCTCCACAAGCACACAGGCACAGCAAAGCAAGACGTTCCCCTCCTCACCACTCCTCTTTCCTCCCTTCTCCAAGCTAGTAGATGGACAGCTGCTGGAGACTGCTCATCCCATGTGAACATGTACTGGACAGGAAGTTCAGGGAAGCCGAGCTGAGAGCCGAGCTGAGAGAGTTGGAGCCAGCTGTTCAGAAACATGATGACTATAAGTGCTTGGGCAAAAATTGAAAGAAATACTTTGCTGTGCAATGTATATTTGGTTGATCTGGATTTACTGCTGAAAACAAGTTTGAGAGTTTAATACTACTCTACTTCACGTTTTTTGCTTCTACGGTGTTCTGCTCCATTTCGAAATAACCTGTTTTACCATATAGAATGCAAAAATGTTTTCCGTATTGCTTTGGGTGTGTGCATTATACACATACAATATGTTAATCATGCAACACCTGCATTATGCAATAGTACATCCGTCCCTAACACTGCCCATATTCATGTTACAGTTTAATAATAAGCTCCCCCAGGGTGCAGCAATGTTGAATCACAGTGATTAGAGAAAGTCATCACACATTTGTCTCTGCAGCTCTTTGTAAAGAGGTCAGAGATTTCAAGAAAAACTTTTGAACGGGCTGATTTTTTTACTGCTAAATTCCTGGGTGTGACTGCCAAAATCTAAGAGGTCAGAGATGTTAAGAAAAAGAGTTGAATGGGCGTATTTTGTATTGCTAAATCCCTGGGGGTGACAGTCGTAATCTAGAAAATACAAGTCATTTCTGCCGTGTGTCTCAGCCTACTATGCAGCGTTGTAATCTCACCTAACAAGTTACAGCCAACTGTGCCAGTTCTGTAACTTATGCGTATTACATTCAAGGACAGATACATCATGTGCCTCTGGATGTAGTTTTTTTTTCTTCTTCTTCTTTTGATTTAATGAAAAGAAGTATAAAGAATACAAGGACTGTTGTAAAAATTACAGAGGTGCAAATATTATAATCACCATCATTTGCCCGGTTGTTTAAATAAGAACTCCAGAATTTTTTTAAATGAACCCTTGCAGTGGGGGTACCCCGGCACTGCAAGTGTTAAGTGCTCGTTTTGGTCCAGGGGGAAAAATAAAGAAGATATATTCACCCTATCCCCTGTCCTGCAGCAGTGACCGCTCGCCTCTCTCCACCTTGGCGTCTTCATGTCGTCTAATGGACCTGTATGAGCATGATGATATCAAGGGTCTTTAGACCGCAGGAGCCTAGAGGAGAACAGTCTATGTGGACTGGTCTAGCAGCGGGATCGAGGATAGGGTGAGTATTTCTTCTTTATTTTTACACCATAGACAAAAGGGGCACTTGGGTAGCCCCACTGCAAGGGTTAATTTCTAAAAATCTTGGAATTCCTCTTTAAATACATTCAAATCTAATCTGAGAAGTTATAATGTTTGCAATCCCATAAACATAGTGTACCCACCCAATGCATTAAAAGGTATGTTTAGTAATAGCTACGTGAAGTCTACAATCAAGCTGCAAGTATGTGTGTGCAGATATGTAACAATTGGAGCTTCTGCTACTAAAACATGAATTGTTTTAATTGCTAATGAGTAAAAATCCTTGTGCTAACTCAGTAAAAGACAGCAAGGCATTAGGTAAGGCCACAATAAGTCCTGGATCATGTGGCTTTTACTTAAAGAATTAAAAGGGATTGCAAAATGAATGGTGGGAGCAATCTAGTCAAACAAGCAGAGGCAAAAGTTTTGTTTTGCAGCAAAGATTCCACGCCAAAATAACTCATAGAATTGTAGACAGGAATAATGCTAACTCAAACATTTAGCTCGGTCTTATGTAATGTGATCTTTAAAAGAAATGCCTCTAATAATAAATTTTATCTCTTAAATCTGCAAAAAAAAAGTCATAACCTGTCACTACTGATGCGCTAGTTAACACGTAATAAAACAGAATGTTGCAGAACTGTAAACAACATAACAAGTACAATTTTTGGGTTAGGGGTGGACCGATGCATTGAAGATGCTGCTAGGTTTCCATAAAAGTGGTTACCTCAATTTGGTGCTCAGCTGAAGATGTCCTTCTTGTGAATTAATCTGAATTTCTCGGCACAGTTTTCAGGGAAACTCGATGCTGATCTCCTCCCTCATTACAGTAGTGTAATGAGAAACTGTGCCTGTTTGGTGTAGATGCAATTAACCCCTTCCCTGCTGGTAAATGTGATTACCATTCCACACATCATTTACATTACCAACAACATTTTTCAGATGAAAACAGTATAATGTAGATTTTTTTGTTCAAGGTGCATCACAGAAAACGACGAACAATGTAAAGGGAAACCGCACCTAGCTTTGAAGGGCAAACATACAAATGTTATCAAGCCATTGCCAATAATTATATGGTTGTAGAAGTTACAAAGTTTTAGAAATGGGGGTAATGATACCACTGCAGATGTAGTGTCCTTTTTTCTCTCTGTCAGAAGTATCAGTCAATTTTACACATCTTCACATTGTCATTTGAAAGAGAAGAAAAGCAGGTAGGGTGTGTTGGAGCTTGTAATTCTAGCCCAGTGTTAATACTCGCTATATATTATTAAAGGTAGGAGGAGGTAGTGTTTACTGTCCTTCACTGAAGATTTCATATTTAGTTATTTTATAGTGAGTTAAAGTGGATGTTAAATGGGGGAAGATTTGTCTATGTCAGCCTTTCTTAACCAGGATGCCTCAGGAGTGCCATGAATTTTTTGCCCAGCGTCATACCTTTCCATGGTGTAGGCAGACCGCTAGCACCATGAAAATTAATGATGCTAATCCAGGGTGGGAGATCCAATCAGATAAGGATGGAAGTTCGCCTCTGTCTAGGCCTGTTCCAACTCCCCCTCTTCCAAACTGCTGCAGATCTTGATGTGATGGTAGGACGTGATGTGAAGGGGGACTGACGCCTCTGATGGGAAGGGGGCTTGTGATATGAAGGGAAAACTTTGATGTGAGAGGGGGAGGCTCTTATGTAAAGAGGGAACCCCACTTTTTTTTGCATGGGTTTCCTTCTTGGAAGGAAAAAACAAACACCAGTGGGTTCTTTCTATCCAGAAAACCTGTTTTTTTTTTGCCATAAATATGCAAAACACAGTTATATCAAATATAACTCAGTAGTGTTCAAATCTGGTCCAGTCATTTTACTAAAAACGGGTCCTGCAGAACCCATGTGGCTCATGCAAAAACAAGGGTACAATAGGGGTTCATCATTTGACTCATATATTCAATATTTGATCACATAACATGGTTGTTTTGTCAATTTCTCCCAGATAAATAGGGTAGAAACTGACAGTCACATTAAAATAATTGCATGTTAAGTGATAGCAACAGATTACTAGTATTTTACAAACTGGTGGCATGTAAGCAATATAACAAAGTTTTTTCTTTACTTGATTAACGGATAGACATATACCCACTAACAGTTCAAAGACACAAAATACACCTTTATTAAACCGTGGCTGTCACCCACTTCCATGACAACTAGCTTCTTTCTTGACCTTATGGTACCACTAATGGCTGATGCACCGAAATTATTTAGTTGTATTGAGGTACATTTGTGGGATGCACAGGTGGATTCATAAACTTGTGGTTTGCGGCAAGGGGAAGAAGTGACTGACTCAATTGCAAATTGCGTTATTGAGGTCTGTTAACAAGATGCATTTTTTCCAGCAGGAGAAAGGAAGGAACATAAAATATTTAGTTTACCATATTTATTTATTTATTTTTGGCCCTGAGCATAAAATATTAACTGATATATAACATGTCCACATGAGATGGATCAGCCAACTTCTTTTACCCCTTGTACTCCAGTAGTAAGATTTTTGTGCTTTTGTGCAGCCTTCCCACCGGCCATAGCCACTACACGGGGTGTTCACTTTCCATGTTGTATTTTTCACATAATTTTTTTGGAGAATGTAACAGGAAGAATAGAACTGTAAAGCAAGGGAAACAGAACCTGAAAACAAGAACAGCGCCTTCTCATGGTGTAATAGCGTCTGTTTATTAATTCAAATAGAAAGGTAACGTAATTTATACTCACAAAAGTCAGTCATGCATACAACAAGAATACATATGACACAAAACCGGCTGGACTTCAGAGCATCATAGGAAGCAGGGGATAATTTCGGGTTAACACATTTCAATGGTTAAACCATCTTCATCAGAAGCAAAAACATATCTAACAGATCAAAGGCAAAAACGCTATTTCTAAATGTATGTGTATATCTTATACACGCCCACACATTGATATTTGAAAGCCTGCCCCTTCCTGGGAAAACTTCGTGGCTGCTGGTTTACACTTTCAGTACACCTAAGTGTACTCTAGGTTAGTGCTTTGAGAGAAACGGCTGCAGTATGTTCAAAGTTGCCCCAGAAGAGATGCTGCCGGGGCCCCCGCTGGTGTCCTCTCTATTCACCGAAACGTCCGCCGAAGTCTCTGTTCCGCACGAATGTGGAAGTGGTGGGTAACTAGCACTGATCTTGTTTTCTTTTTTACACATATTTATCATCCTAAATAACTAAAAGGGATTGAAAGAAGGAGATTTACAGATGTTTGACTTTAGTCCACGCAGCCATACAAAGAGCTAGTGGACGGGAGAATTCTGCACACCAGTAGGAACTTTTTCCGACTTAGTCAATCACCTAGTACAATGGAGCAGAGGAAATTAGACCAACTACCAACTTACGTGAAGTTGCTACAAAAATGTAGTGTTGCTAGCACTGTAATCAGGCTGGTTTATTTGTATTCTGGCATCATCTGGTTAATTCTAGGTGTTATGCTATTGATTGCACCTACCTGTCAGTGGGGTGACAGGTAGGTGTAGACCCCTGCTACAGAGTGGGGCAGCCAATAGGGGAACATTAGGAGTGTCTATGCCTCACAAGCCAATCACTAGGAGTTTTGAAGGCCAGTGGTGCATGCTAGGGGAGTGCATATTGTGGTGGAAAAGTTGGTTAAGCTAAAGAATCAATTTTAATATTTGAGACTCCATCTTGTTTTACATAAGTCCAAGGTCTGTGGAGATCAATGGTTTTTATCTTTGCAGAAGTCTGCAAAGATATATTTGTGCAGACCCTGTAAAGAGATATCTTAGTCTGTGTTTTACAGGTTTTTTCAAGGATTTTTTCATTCTTGGCAAACACCCTTGTGGGGGTAGCTGATAAGATAAATATTGCCTATCTTTCAAAGCTGTTACAGACTAACTAACAAGGAATAGATGCTAATGGTATGGTTTTAGAGAGTTAACCATTTAAAAGTTGTGATAAATAGTGAAATATTATTGGATGATTTGTATTTCTGTGTCGGCCCAGTGTGTGAAGGCACTGGGAGGTATCTCATGAATTATGCTAATGTGCCTGTGTTTAAAAGTTTTGTAATTCCTCTTTTTGGTAGTAGTACGCTGGCTATCGTACTGCCTGTTATGGAAATTCACTTGGTTCAACGCACAAATCCATGTCGCATTAAGCTGCGCCAAACACAAAGAATTTCCCCCGTTGTACTACGCTCCTTTATGCAAGGACTGGAAGTATCTCCCTTCAGAGTCATGTAGAGTCAGGAGAGATGTTGCTTGTTCGTTAATCCCATGCTAAGAGACCTGAACATGTTTATTGTTTCTACCTGCCCAACAGGAAGTGATGTCAGACAGGAAGGGGTGTCCCAAACAGCGAGACAGGAAGTGATGGCAAACCAACAGATGATTTCAACAACCAGCAAACCAGGAAGTGGGACAGACAGGAAGTGAACAGGAGCAATCTATGACCACCGGAGTGACTTTATCCAGCGTTGCTCAGTGATCAATGCCACATAACGTTACTAGGATTCTCATGCGCGCTCATTCACAGGGATAACGTTATATTATCTCAAGCGTGTTGATCAGGCACACCACAGAGAACAAACGCACGTTCCTTTCATATACTGTGTTCCAAACAAATGTATCCACGCAAGCCAATAAATCCATGCATTGCACGGGGGGCCCCAGCCAGCGTCCATACATTCGCCAAGAAGACACTGCCCCACCTTGCATAAGAAATCTCCTCCAATGGATTAATCCCCCAGTGTCTATTTACCTAGACACTGAGAGACTAATGACAAAACATTACAATACACTAAAACCACATCCTAGTAAAATTTCCACAACATGCCCAACATATGTTGAATAAACCTAATTATGTCAAGGACACAAATCTCTGTTCCTGGTTTTGCACAAGGTCTGGTACTCCTGCCAGGACAATATATACTCAGTGATTGCCATGTGCTCAGGGCAGTCCGCCCCACGCTTGGCCTGGAGGGAGGCATGTACAAGGTTGGGGAAGCTGACTAGGCCTCAAGCCTGGAGGAGGCCACAAGTGGACCCAGGTGGGATCTGGAACTATCTGGAGCCCTATGGCTGTTGGAGGTGCCTGGAGATAGCATGGACCCAGTGGTGTATTTTAGTTTTGTGCTGCCCTAGGCAAGACTAAACATAGGCACCCCCCATCTAAATTTTCCCCGCCCCTTCCTGTTGAAGACATTTTGCTTAACCTGTCAGTCACTAAATACAGCACGCACGCTGTATCCAGCTTCTGACAGGTTGCGAGCAAGCACGCTGTATCCCGCTTCTGACAGGTTGCGCTATTAGTGTAACGGGGAAGACCGCTGAAAATTTGGCTTGTCCTGTCAGAAGCTGGATACAGCGAGTGCCTGTTTAAATAGTAACAGACGTGTGCTGGGGTCACTGTGTTGTCACTGAATTTAATAAAATAGAAATTATGGGGACACAACCAGCCTGTCATTACTAGGGGTGATATAGGGTCACTTTGTTGCCACTGCATATAATACAATAGATTGGTTGCTGGTGTGAGGGAGGCAAGGGCACACAGACAGGGGGTTCACACACAGAACAGCTGACAGTCATCAAAAAAAATCTAGTAAGTGGGTGTGTCTTTCCACCTCGGCACAGCTGACACTGTTGTCGGTGAAGTGTTTCAGGAAAGGAACCGGCTCGGGCCTCACATGGGCTGCAGCTATGCTGAAGACCGAGCAAATACTCCATCTGAAAACCCAGCGGGGCCTGACCCTGCAAGCCATGAGGGAGCATTACCTGCGGGAGGATCTGAGCTGCAGGAGCCTGCTGTGTGCAACCTGTGGCTGGGGAGAGAGGTCTTCTTGCATGTCCATCCACCTCTTGCAGGCTCTTAACATGTAAGCTGTGCCCGAGACTCTACAGACTCCGCCCACTCCCGCCTTAAACTCCGAGCATGGGATCCGTGCTAAGCAACAAACGAAGCAGAGATCACAAAGCCCTGACTATAGAAGACCCCAACCCCAGCTACGACTGTGCCCTGTGCCTGGAGCTCCTGAGGGGGCTGATGAGGACACAATGTGGACATGTTAATTGCAGGTGAGGTGCTGATGGGTGCGGTGCCACCCAAGGCAAATGTCTAGATTGCCTTGCGTAGATACGCCCCTGCATGGACATCAGGAACAAGTCCGGTGTCTCTCCCAGGGAAGATTTCATGCTCATTCCATTTAGCTACTATTCTACTGTACAGCGTTAGTTTGTGTTATACTGAAGTATTCTCTGCACTGTGGAAGCCTGAAGGGATTGGTGAGTATGGAGTCAGTATTTTTGCCATTGATGTCCTGAAGCCCTATACCCTCTTTCCCAGTTTTGCTGTCTGTTAATAAAGCATTGAAAAGGTCCTCAAAGTGACTTGCACCCAATTTGTTATCGCACCCCTTTACTGACCAGTGATCTACCCCCGAGAGTGAAATGTCAGCACTCCTTACCCTTTAGGGGTCGACCTCAGGCTTGTGGGTGTCAGGGGGATGCTACAATATGTAGGGCTGATGGCCTGTCTGCTCCCTGTCCAGACCTGTAATACAGCACCTTCCAGTCCCAATTTTCCTTCTCGTTGTATGATGCCATGTGACTGAATGCAGAGAAATACGAAGGAACATGATGCTAAAAGACTTCAATTGTCAGTCCCTGTGATCGCAATTATTTTGCTATATTCCACATAAGCTGGGTATACACTGTTAGATTATTTTAGTTTTGTCCAAAAATATAACAGATTTCTCTATCCATGCTAAACAGCGTCGATGTAGCTCCTTCTGCGACTATTTTATTTTGGCCACGTCTGAACTGACTGAATGCAGGCGCTGTTGGGCCGTCAATTTTCAACCCAGCTCCTTTTGTTTTAAGCTGAAAGATGTCTGGTGGGAGACGGCAGATAGAACAATCCAGTGAACGAATTGCAGACGAGAAATTTACTGCAGAGAAGTATTTTTTTCAGAGGCGTACTTTCCTTTTTAGAGCCTAACAACTTTTCTCATTGCACTGACAAAACTGTAAAATGTGTGCAACCCAAATGTTAAAGGAGAACTATGAGGTGAGTGATTTTCACTCATCCTCATAGTTCTAGTCGACCTGTGACAATGAAACTGTCACAGGTCGGCTCAGTAGATCGGGAAGAGAGCGAGCACATACCGGCGCTCGCTCACTTCTCGATCCTGTCACTGCAGAGAGCCGTGGCAGGGGAGGGACTGGATTTCCCTCTCCCCTGTCCGATCCTCCAGCGCTAACTGGTGGAACGGACGGGGTAGGGGGCGGGTACAGCTGGCTCTGCCTCTAGATAGGCAGAGCCACCTGTCACTCATGCAGCTTGGTGGATCCAGACATAATTGTCAGCTGCGGTGTCTCAGTATACTGCGAGCTGTAGCTCGTGGTATACTGAGCTTTGGGTGACAGGAGGACGCTAGTTTGTGTCCTCCCATTCCCCTTAGGAGAACTATGGGGAAAAGCCCTAACCCCATAGTTCTCCTTTAAAGAAATATGACTGATAAGGATTCTTTGTTATGATGGCACCCTGACCTCTGTACTGTGCATCACGCCCTGATCCCTACACTATCCGTCACACCCTGACATCTGCACTGTGCATCACACCCTGATCTCTGCACTGTGCGTCACACCCTGACCTCTGTACCCTGTGCCACACTCTGACCTCTGTACTCTGCGTCACACCCTGACCTCTGAAATCTGCGTCACACCCTGACCTCTGTACTCTGCGTCACACCCTGACCTCTGCATTGTGCGTTACACCCTGATCTCTGTATTCTGCATCACATCCTGACCTCTGTACTCTGCGTCACACCCTGACCTCTGTACTCTGCGTCGCACCCTGACCTCTGTACTCTGTCACCCCCTGACCTTTGTACTCTGCGTCACCCCTGACCTCTGTACTCTGCATCACACCCTGACCTCTGTACTCTGCGTCACACCCTGATCTCTGTACCCTGCGTCACACCCTGGCCTCTGCACTCTACACCACTGACTTCTGTACTCTGCCTTACAACTGACCTCTGCAGCTTGAAAAATACTTTTTTCACATTGATTCAGTTGCATTAGGTCCTGCGCAGCAGCCTTCTGTGGAACCACCCGGCACCTGCTTACAGCGCTTTTGCCGCTCGCACATCTCCCCCTCCTTAAGACCCTCTGTACCCCTCCTGAGGCCCTCTGCATCCCTCCTGAGACACTTTGTTAGGTGAGGGTTGTAAAGGAGTTATGAGATAGGCATTAGTTTCCAGCTCTATTGGAAGACTCCTTGGAACTTTCAGAAACAATGTGGACAGCTAAAAACGGCAAAGGCAAGCCATGACTATGAAGCTAACAGATTTTGTATTTAGTCCCTTCAGTGCCAAATAGTCATAACAGGTTTTGTTAAATTACCAATATCACCAGGATAATAATAATAATAATACTACACATACTGCAGGAATACACACAGTAGGCTTAATAATTATTTAACCATGGGAAACTTATTAAATCACATAAAAGAAATTAATCTTTCTCAGTTTGGCAATGCAATCTCTTGCTTACTAGTGACCTCACTAAACTACTGTATATACATCCATTTTATACAATGGCAATAAAATAGCGGCAAGATAAGCATAACACACATATTTGCTGTCTGTGGTCTTGCAAAACTAATCTGCTCTGTGCTTTTCAGTTGTTACATTTCACTGCCTTTTTGTACAACTTTTTTTAGACAAAAATAATACAACTATTGCATATAAGAACACAAGAGGGCACAAAGACACAACTTTTCCTAATTAAGCTGCCATACAAAAAAAAAAAGGTTTTAATTCATGTTCTTATGTTCAGTGTCATTTTTCCATTTTCCTTCACTAAATCGAATGAATTGGTGGAATGGTCACTGCATATTTCTGCACTTTGCACCTTGCATTGTCCATTAAACATACCTGCTAACTGAGAGCACGCAAATTAAATATTGGGTTGATTAAAAAGAAAAAATGTATCACGTTACAAACTAGAAGATATAAAGAATGGTGAATAGCTCACACTATAAAGTCAGGTACTGTACTTGAACGTGCATTGAGAAGTATGTTTCCAAGGGAATTACTGATGTTTTAGAACACAGATGTGCCTTTTAACACCAGCAGGTGAGGAAACTAGGCGAATAATACCTTCTGTCATAAAATGAACATTTAAGCTGTCACTTATATCTCTTGTTAAACTGCAATCTGTTGCCAGCAAAGCAGCTCATGATAGGTGAGTGCAAACTCTGGGCATGTAACAGCTTGCGTTAACATGGCTGACAATAGCACACAGCTAATCACTAATACTTTACACCTGCCATTTAATTCACCTCCAAACTACTCCAACCACATGAAGCACAGAAGAAAATGATTTGAAATGCTCGCATTGTACAAAACATATAAACTTGGCGAGGTACTGATCTTCAGTGCAGACAAATAATAGATTAAATGTTACCTGAGATTTGGACAGATGGCAGCCAGTTGTACTATTATACTCTTGTGTTTTCTTTTTATTCATAATTACTAAAAAATGCTAGGCTCAAATAACATCATAAAAGCTAACTAGCAAACTCTTAATATTGCTATTAGAGGAACATAAAGTTAAAAATAATATGAAGGAAAAATGTGGGTGTTTATTGAAGCAACCAAGCTGGTATTAGTTTGTATCACCTATTAGCGCAAGTGCTAGCAAAATGGCTAATGTAGCCTGACTGGTTGACAGGTACCCTGAACTAATATATTCTACAATTCCATTATTGATCATTTTTAAATTATAAAACTACTGCGATTTGGAGAGAGAGACAGAGAGATAGAGAGAGAGAGAGAGAGAGAGAGAGAGAGAGAGAGAGAGAGAGAAAAGAAAATATTATATATGTACAAAGAAGTCAGGGTATTGCCATACTCAATCTTCTTCTCTATTTGGTCATCTAGACTAGTCATGACTTGATACAAAAAGGCATCAGTTTTGAACCACATTCAGTTCTTTGTCCAGCCCAAAAGTGATATGACAACATACACGTTTCTCTCATTTATCTTTAAACACCCAAAGTCATCTGACACTCTATTACAATTTAACCCATACGTTTCCCACATTTCTATAGGTCCACAGACTGTTATGTCTAGGATAGAGAATATATTGTTTGTGAAAAATTTGGATTTGAGGATTAAGAGTAAAATAACACCTCCCACATCGTTTGCACCTGTCGAAGTTTTTATATCAAATGTGGAGACGGACATCATGGGACTATTACGTAACAAACCTTGGGACTATACTCCATATAATTTGTTGTGTAATGAAAAGAAAGCATTGAGATCCTTGTCTGTGAGGTGGGATATAACTATCAAACCCGCAGACAAGGGGGGGGTTCAATGGTAGTGATGGATACAAAATTTTATGAAAAAGACATTTTGAAACAGCTGTCACATGCTAAAGTATATAAGAAATTGGATTGTAATCCGGTGTTTGATATACATAGGAAAATAGTAGGTATGGTAGAGGAGGCATACAGAAGTGGTGTGATAGACAATGATACTAAAACCTATTTGAATAAAGAGTTTCCAGTCACACCGGTCTTGTATGCTGTTTCAAACATACATAAAGATTCCCAGTGTCCCCTTCACCGACTGATTGTGATGAGTATAGAATCTGTTTTATCTCCTCTGGCAATATATTATGACAAAATTGTGACCTCATTGATAAAGAAAAGCAAATCATATCTAAAGCTGGCCATACACCTGTAGATTATTGTTCGAACCACCGTTCGATTTCCGCACGACTGCCCCATCAAGCAAAGTCAATGTTCGTTTTTGAAAATCGTTCGAAAGGCACATCA